TCGGTTCCAATCCGGAACAGTGAGGTTCAATTCGGAACCAATCCGTGACTTACGAATTTTCAAATTCCTAATCCGGAACCAAACCACGAATTCAAAAAACCAATCCTATCCGGACCGGATCGGATTATAGATTATACAGATTCCTTGCTCAGCTGTACCTTTTATGACATTGATACAGAAAATAAATTTCAACAAATTTTATTTGTTTACTTTAATAGCAAATATGATGTCATGCAATAAATATGAAAGCATTTTTAAAATTTTATTAAATTTCTGTACTTTTTGAAAATGGAAAAAGTATATATTTAAACTTATAAGCTAAAAATCAAAACAATATTAATAGAATATGTATCAATATCTCTATACCTGTGTTGCTTTTAAAGAAAAAATAAGTCTCTTTTATAACTTTTGTTTTGTATGATTATAAAAAAATCTATGAAAAATTTAGGTTCTTCAGAATATTAATTTAAATTATTATTTTTTAAATTAAGAAATATATATATGAAATGTAACTACTAACTATATCTGATTTCAAAATTTTAGCCATATTAAATCGAAATTCCAAAATAGAATCTTAGCTATATTTAAACTAAATCTCATGTATATTTTAATTTTTAAAAACTAAGAAATATATGTGCCGTAAAACTATTCACCTATCTAACCTTTATCTAATTAAATTCACACACCCGCCGGCTAGCTCACGTTTGTGTTTTCAGGTGACAAAGCGACGTCGTACGGAGGAGCGTGGACTTGGTCAACAGGATTATACGAGGAGAATTATTTCCTCCCCGTACATATATATATATATATATATATAATTCGCATCTCATTTCAAATTTGAAAATGAAAAATTCAAAATAAAACTTTAGCTATCTAATTTGAAAATTAGAAAATTTTAAATTAAAAAATCAAAAATAAAAATTTAGTGATGCAATAGTCACAATAGTATATCTTTGAAGTGGTACCTTAAATGAACTAACCACATGTGCCGTATGGCGCCAATCCAATAATGTTGTTAGGTGCACATTACATAATAATTAGAATATGATCACTCTAGCATCTACATCTTTTAAAAATTTATAGAAGTTATTATTTAAAGTGTGAATTATACATAACTTTTTAAATTTTTTTTTTTTTTTTTTTTGGGGGATATTAAAAAAGTTTAATAAAAACAAAAAAAATACGAAAAATAAGAAAGTAGAATTTTTTTTTTTTTTTTTTGGGGTAAGTTATAAAATTATGTTTTAAAATCTAAATTCTTTTAAGGGGTACTTACGTGTAGGTCTTAATAAGTAGACTTATTGTCTAATAAATTTTATGGGAAAAATTTGTCATAAAAAAAGTCACTAATTATCAATTTTTAGCGACGTATGTAAAAAATTGTCACAAAAAAATTATTTTTAACGACAATTTTATTAAAAATTATTTTCAATAGGACTTGATGAAAATTAAGTCTAACTATTAAGACCTATTAGTAGTTTACCCTTCTATTTTTAACTATATGTTTACAAAATCATAAATACACTTCATTCTCTAATGCTTACTGCGGTTGAATAGTTTGTCTAATTCAGACAGTTTGATCTAAAAAAATATCAAGTTTAGAAAAGAGTTTTCATTCATAGAACAAGCATTGACTAATAAAATGGTTTGACATAGTTCCAAACGATAACTTGAGCAAAAGTTGCAACCCTATGGCCTATCTTGATTAAATTATTTTCTATACAAATATATTTATTTTTTGTATTTAGTAGATTATTTTTTATAAGCATTTGAATAGAATTATTTACAATTAAAAAACAAAAATGATTGAATATTTATGTAGTCTAAATCTAAACATGACTATAATTAGAACTATAAGAATGACTTTATAATTTTTTTGATCGGGAATGACTTTATAGTTGGTTGGAGTAAGAAAAGTAGACCAAATACTGGGTTAGTCTAGCCTGATCTTGGCATTTAATTTGTATTTTTAAAATATAACATTTAATTGTTTCTTTACCAAAAGACAACACACATATATATTATATAAATTATTCTTTAACCATTGATCAATTAAAATTATTTTATAAAAAATTATTCCAAACTATTTTTTTTTTTTTTTAAATTCTACCCATTTACAATGTATAATAATTTTAGAGAGCCAATTGCATTTCTAATCATCCTTCTTGGTAAAATTGTCAAAAGTTATGAACATTGTATTTGTTTGATATTTAAGTTGTAGTTAGTATAATCTTTTCATTTTAAGTTACCTGTTGCAAAATGAATCTTATAAAGATTACATATTTAGCCTTAATATGTTAATTAACCTTAATTTTACCTTATAATATATGACAAAATATTATACTAAGTTGGGAATTTCAAAGCAAGTCGAGCTAAACTGAACTAAGCTAAATTATGAATATTTGATGTTAATCAGTTAAACTTTGAATGCATAGCTTAACATTTTCTCTATAGTTTAGTCGTTTTTTTGATGAAGTAACATTTACCTAAAAAGCTAGCAGATAGATTTAATAAGATAAGTTTAGTTACGGAAAATTTATCACAAAATTTCATTTCATGATAGTACTTTATTATTATATACAATTTAAGCGTATGCATAATAATTAGGAAAAATTACCAGTAAATCCTATGTGGTAGAAAGTTAAACCATTTAGTCTTACAAATTTTCTTATACACCATTTAGTCCCACTATCTACATCAGCAACATCAACAGCATCATTAACATCATCAAAACATTAGCTACATTAGCAACATTAACTGCATCAATCGACAATATCAAACATTAACAAAACATCATAATCTTTAGCATTGGGATGGAACCCAAATCCAAAAGTGACCCTTTTCAATTTCGCACCCCTCTTATCCCACCATGTGTAACCTGGAATTCGACGAAACTATTTAGTTGCAGGGTTACGGAGAAACAAGGGTTTCCCAAATTGAGATACACTGATACAAACTAGACTATTACGGATACCCACAATGTCTGGATCAAATTCCTGGGTCAAAAATGAGAAATCGAGATCGATGGGTGTATGAGATCTTGTGGCAGCGATAATGGCAGGTTTTGGGAGAGTGGCGGTGGCGGTGGTTCCATCGTCTCTGGTTTTCTAAGAAAAGAATTTGAAGGAGTTCAGAATTTAGAACACCAAGACATCCGAAGTTAAAATCGATCTATAAGAATATTTTTGAGTTTACAAATTAAGAACTTATCTATTCCACAACTACCAGAAAAAACAAAAGAAGTGGGTTGTTTTGAGTTGATGTTGTGATGTTTGATGATGATGTCATCGTCTCTGGTTTTCTAAGAAGAGAATTTGAAGGAGTTCAGAATTTAGAACACCAAGACATCCGAAGTTGAAGTCATTTTTCATTCAATACGTTTAGGGTTTTTTCCGATTTGGGTTTTTTTTATTTATAAAAAATATATATGAATTGTATAGATGACTTTTGATGATGATGTTTTGACGATGGCGATGAAGCTTGATGATGGCGATTATGTGTGTTGTTTTGATGATAATGACGTTTGATGTTGTTTTGATGGTGTTGTTGTGATGTTTGATGTTGTGATGTTGTGTTGTTAATGATGTGATGACGTTTGATGATGATGATGTTGTGATGTTTGATGTTGTTTTGATGATGATGTTTGTGACGTTTGATATTATTTTGATAATGATGTTTGATGTTGATGATGATGTTGTGATGTTTGGTGTTATTTTGATGATGATGTTTGTGACGTTTGATGTTATTTTGATAATGATGTTTGTGTTGATGATGATGTTGTGATATTTGATGTTGTTTTGATACTGATGTTTGATGTTGTTTTGATAATGATGTTGTAATGTTTGATGTTGTTTTGATGATGATGATGTTGTTTTGACGATGATGATGTTTGATGTTTAATGGTCATTAACATTGGGATAGGACCTAACGATTCATAAGAAAATTCATAGGACCAGATGGGTTACAAGATATAAATTTGGGATTTATTGGTGCATCCCCCTAATAATTAACCATTTTTGAACAATAACTATAAATTTATTTCTTTCTAAGTGTTTTATAAAATTTGTTGTGATGTAAGTCATTTTGAAGTGTAAAATGTAAAAGAACAATACTAGGACCTTCAAAAAAATTATCAAATATTTTACACAATACTCATATAGATGTGATCAATGTGAATACTTAGTAATTCATTTGGAGTTTTTAACATTTTTAGATTTAAAATTACATCCTGGCTTCCAAGAGAAATCTTTAAAAAAATTATTTTTAATAAATATATGTTTTAAACCGTGCATAACATCAGTATACAGCTAGTGTATATATATATTGACTGAGGATCCAGACCCATATAAGTGCTGGTTGTTTTTCTTGTTCCCCAGTGCACGGGATCATTTCATTTAAGTTTTGTTGGGTAGTTTGAAAAATAAAAAAATTCAAAACACCACCAAGCACCATATAATATTATAAATTGATCTTATATTTCGGGGTTTAAGTTTGGCCTACATCAAACCTAATAAAAATAAAATTATTATTATTTCTATTTTTGGGTTGGACCCCACAATAATTATTAAAAAAATAAAAAATAAAAAATGGAGAGGATATGAATGGACCTCTTGAAAATGATAATCAACAACATTGAATTTTTAGACTGAGATCTTCTCTATTACATGTCCTCTCTATGACATGGTTGTACTTGAAGATCTCAATTTTTTTTTTCCGATCAACAGAACAGAAGATCTCTATTACATCATCTAACGATTATGAAATAATCATAAAAATATATTACTATTTTAAATTTAAAAAGACTTATTACAAACCCTTAAATAAAATTTCTCCAAAAAAAAAAAAAATTTTTCAAAAAAAAAAAAAAAAAATACTCCTTAGATAATATAATGGAGATCTTTCATTACAACTTTGAAATGAATAGGATCACAATTCAGAATTTTTTTACCATGGACAAAACATTCCAACTAGAAGTACTCGAGCTATACAAAGAACATGGATGGACCAAAGAAATTGGAGCCCCTGTTTAAAAACAAGATTCTAGTTAAAGATGAACCAAAAAATACCATAGACATTGCATGCCTTGGAAAACCACAAGTTTCATTCAATATGCTACCCAATTGGAGCAAGTTTTCAGGGATTGGAACTTGTGTAAAAACAAAATTTCAGCTATAGATTCACCAAACAATTGTTTGCATTATACAATGTTACACGGAAAACCTTAAAGTTGATTGAATAGGCTAAACTACATTCTTCAGGCTGGATCCCAATTCTCTCTCCCAAGTTGAGCGTTCACATTAATTTTGAGTTCCCATGATGACATAAAGAATGGTTTGCCTTCGAGTAAATCACCAACAAACAACTGCAAAATAAGAATAAGGCCAAGTTTGGGAAGACTAAATAAGTGTATTTTTTATCTTTTTGGACTAAAAAATTGAGGTTGAAAATATGGATGTTTGGGTTAACTTTTTGACTTTTTATTGGAAAATGTGTAATAAAAAATTGTAAAAATTGATTTGTAGAGAAAAATTTGAATTGGGAGTTGTGCAGCCGTAATTGTTGACTTTTGGTGAATAGTGTTAACTTTTTAACTTTTTGAGTAACTTTTTGGTTTTTTGGCTTTTTTGGAACATCCCAAACTTGGCCTAAGAATAAGAATAAGAAAAAGAATAGCGCAAACGGGAATCTATCTAGGAAGCTAAAAAAATTAGGCTAGTAAGAAAAAAATGTAATAATAAACAATGACCATACAAAATCCTTTAAAAAAAAAAAAATCAAGTCAATTAGAAGAAGAGTTTCACATCATTTGTTCCACCTCTTCATATTTCAAAAACTTTTTTTTTTCAATTCTTTTACGTAAGCATATCAATCCCCCAAAGCGAAAAAAGAAATAATAAAGATAGATATAAAATACACTTGTTCCTATTCTACACAATGTATTTCATTTGGGCAAATAACATCTGCAAGGCTTACTTATCAAAGAAATATATATGTATATATATCTACAAGTCTTTCTCCTATATAAATTTCTGAAACGATAACAGCTGTAGCTGTTAAATGGCTTATAATAACTCACTGTTTTCACTTTGGATGAAAGGCAAGCTCTCTCTCAAGAAAAGAGAAAAAAGAGGTCATCTTCTTCTTCCATTGGATAACCGGTTGTCATTGACAAATTCATAGTACTTGTCTTCCCCATAAAGTTGCCTGAATAATCAAATAACCAATGCAAGCTTCAGATTAGCACCATAACACACATACACACATGCACACAGGAAAACCTGCTAAAATTAAGCTTTTTCTATTACATCAGTGAACCAAAAGTGACAGTGGAATTATGACAGCGAAATACACAGATTGCCAATATTTGTACTTGGACTGGACTGAAGTATCGGGTGAAATTATGACAGCCAAATAGTTAGACCAGCATACCATATTTACAAGAATGTCCATTAACAAATAATAAATGTATGCTTATGGTCATTTTGAATGCCATGACACGAATGAGAAACAAAGTCTTATAATAGATTTCGGCAAGAGTTACAACTTACAAGTTACTAATCTGCAGTAAGATCTCATATAATCTTTCTTACTTGTATGGCTTCTCAGAAGTCAAACAAAGGATTGAAAGTCACAAAGTAGGGCTAGGATTTGCAGTGCACAAAAATTCCATGGCCAACATTAGCATCTATCAAGGTTTACTAAATATTATTCTAGATACAAGAAATTGAAAGCCATTATGATGTTAAATTTATAAGCAATGCACCCACGGCACACTGGGATTATGTGTACCGTGCAGTCTTGCACTGGGGGAATCCTACTAAACTCTCAGAAAATTCTGACCCAAAAATAACAAAATCTAGGTTCCTCAACCATTAGAGGGTGGGTGATAATAAGCCTATACAAGTGAGTGGTACCGCATTTATGCAATCATGACATCTAAGAAATTTGGCAAATTACATGGAACTGTGCTTTTATATTAACAAATTTTATTACAACAAACTAGAGCAAAAAAAACAATAATATACGTACGCTAGATTTGCCAATGTTTCAGATTTATTCACAGCCTTTCCTTCCGGGAGTTCAAGGGAAGAAAAATGCATTATCATTTCCTTCAAAGTGTGCTTTGTGCTTTTCACATCATTATCCCATAAGATGCTCTGTAATCGAAGTGCAGAAACTGTTTTATTTACAGGTCAAATTGTAAAAACTGAGGTCAAGCAAAAAACTGAAACTAACACAGATTCCCATATGACATGATACAGAATTAACATTTCCTGTCACAGTGGAGTTTTACAAGTAAAACATGTGCAGAAGAGGGTAGCTAGTCATCAATGGTCAGATACCTTCCTAACGTATTGTCTTTTCACCTCTTCCCAGGGTACTTTGCCTTTAGGAGAGAAAATTGAAGCATTCCAAAGAGCTCCTCTAGCAACCATCACAGCTGAGGCACCTTAAGAAAAAATTAAAAAAAAGAAGAAGAAGAAGAGGAGAGGATGATCACTTAAATTGCGAATATCATTATAGCGTGAGAGAGAGAGAGAGAGAGAATAGACGCATAAAAAAAAAAAGAGGGTAAGAACAAATCAGTTACTGACCATCATTTGCATGATATGAAAATATCCAGCATAGATACATCATTTAAAGAATTGATTGGAGATCTTTTACTTACCAGTTGCCAATTTAATGCACTGAATATCTTCATATTCGAAGACATCACCATTTGCTATGACGGGAATAGATAGTGCCGCTACAACATCAGCAATCTCATTCCATTTGGCAGGATCTCTTGGCCTATCTGCAACTCTTCTGCAATTCACTCAACAGAAAACATGCAGCCATTACTTAAACAGTTAAAACGAAAGTCTTGATGAAAGTTAACTCTGGTCCGAAACTGATGCACCCTCCCATTTGAAATAGCATAACAGCAAAAGAATGATCCTTTAGAGGGAAAAAAAAATAATGGCTGTGTTTGGTACAACTTTTGAATCATGATTCTACCTTTTAGTTTGAGTGCGGCGTTTGTTTACAGTTTTCAAAAATCATTTCCACACCCGCGTTTGAAAATTCGTGTACCCGGACGTCCGGCTGGTTGACCGGAACAGTGTTCATGATTTTTTTTATTTTTTTTGCAGTTGTTATTTTTATATTTTAAATAAAAAATATTTTCAAAATTTTTTTTAAAATTTTTTGAGTTTTGAATAGAATTTTAGATTATGTGTTTGGTTATGAGTTGTAAGTTTTTATATCAAAAATTATGTCACATCACTCAATTTAAAAACTCTTTTTAAAACTCATTCACCAAACAAATTTTCTACACTCAAATCTTAATTTCAAAACTCACAAACTCAAAATACAACTCATATTCTCAAATCATATTTGGAAAACTCTACCAAACGCAACCAATCATTTCCTGAGACAACAAATCTAAGAAAATGTTGTTAAAATCATAATATAAGTAATCATCCACCAACAGTTCTCAAAAGGCCCTTCAAGCATTGTCAATTCAAATTGCAAACTTTCAGGGTATACAAATCCTTAAACTAAGGAGTAATAAATTTGCCTATGCAACATAGACTACCACATTATAGTTTTACTGCCATGTCAATCTTCTCTCAAGATGAAAGTAGATTATTTTCTCTCTTTTTTCCAAAAAAAAAAGGGGTGGGGGGATGCTATTCAAGTACATGAAATTTTTGCCCCAAAAAACTTGTAAGACATCCACAGAATTCATGAAAGAGAGAAACATTGCGTTGTTTTCGTTCATCTCAAAGACGGGAAACTCTAAAATTTCAGATGCATGCACCTAGCAATGGAATTTATTTATTTTTAATTTTTATGCACATATGCAATGAAAAAGTGAAATAGAATAAAAAGTCAAAAGAAAGAGAGGAAACAGATTTTTTTCCTCGGGAGGTTAAAGAGGGTGTGAGACTTTCAGCAAATTCTACATTCTAAGCTCTTTGTTGAAACTTCATCTTTAAACTTCCAGACCTAACCATATCAGACGAACCACCTTCATATAAACCATCAAGATTGAGTATTACATAATGTTTTGATTGCTCAGTTACTTCCTAGAAAGTATAGGATGTGAATTACAAAGAGAAAATTGCTTGGAAGCTATCTAATCTGAACAATGCTAATTGAATGAGACATAACGCAATTTCAAATGCAAATAAAGCTAATTGTGTAACAATAAGCTTCAACATAGTGCACCAACCAATTTTCAGCACTCCAAAAATAAATAAATAAAATATTCAGTGCTATGCTAGAGATTAGAAATACTCCACCCAAATTACACATTACCTTCCATGGACAGCTAGAGCAGAAACACCAGTTTTCTCGATTCTCCGTGCTAATTCTACCGTATCCTGGGATGATTTTAGAAGTCGAATCTTACATGTTACTGGTGTATCCAAATTTCGCTTTAATGTCGTCAATATCTGGATCAACAGAGAAACAACATAAGGGTTAAAGCATTTAGTTCAAACAATGAACAAAGAAGGAAAAAGAAAAATAGAACTCCATGAATGTCATGCACCGCATACATCATGAATAAGCTCCGGTTTAGTCAATAATGCAGCGCCCATTCCGCCACTAATAGAGAATGATTTTGGGCAACCCATGTTGATATCTACTGCGGCAACATCTTTGCACCTGAAAGAGCAGTTACCAAGACAAAACTGTAGATCAGAGGTGGCAAAAAATAGGTAGTTGCTGTTTTGTATAACCATACATACATCTCAGTCCAAATTCATATGTGACCAAATTGTTAGGTCAGACCCAGTTAGACAACAGATGCACTGGAGGGTATAAAAATCCTAAGACCAAAGAATTGATGTTCGTGCCACATTTTGTGCCATCCCCTACCCACCCAAATGTGGAATTCAAAACAAACATTCTATGTGGAAAGACCTCAACTCCTATCTAATATTCCCACTTTACTGCTTTGATGTTAGGCTCCCCCTATCTGTCGATCTTCTATTTTTTTTTAAATGTACATGGTTGCGCAAGGTCTCCCACTTATAGATGTGGTTCCCCCCCCCCCCCCCCCCCCCCCCCGCGCGTTTGGAGAGATTAATTCTTGTGACTCAAAATGCCATTAAGAAGTTGTCCCTGTAAACAAGAAGATGTCGAACTTGGTTTAGTCAAAAGAAGGCGGTCTTGGAATCTCATGTTGTGTGGTGCACCCCCCTGCATGAATGTTGTCGAGTAACCTTGAAAGTAAAGGACACAAAAAATACTTGGATGTACTGTCTCACCCCATTCCTTCTGACAAATAAGTACTATAATTTCGTTCTAAAGGCCAACAAAACAACATTTACAATTGTAAAATTATCATCTTAAGAACTCTTGGTAAGCAGAATTACATAGTAGAAAGGACCCAAAAAAATTGACAATCTAGTAAAGGCACCAAGCCTGAACATATCAAAGAAGAAACAATCAACAAAAGCTAGTCAGGAGGACACAACAAAAATGTTTAAATACCAAATTTAGAAGCATTGGTGTTCATTCTTGTTACAGCATCCAACCTTCATTACAATCAGAAAAAGAATAATGAAAAAGAAACATACACTATCTGAGCAGCAGTAAGAGCCCTCACAGCATCAGAAGTGCCCATTTGAAATACTACCCGATTGCTTTCTTCATGGCAGGTCCTGAAAACAATATTCTCAGTTCCCTTCTCCACAATATCAGTAGTCCCAATCACCTCTGATAAGTAACAAATGAGATGAGTTCCAAAAATTTAAGCAGAAGAGCAGAGTACCATATTCTTCTATTCCCCCAAATAATATAAACTACTACACAAATGCGGACATTCAGATAAATAACATTAAGAACAAAATTAAAGAAAAGTTTTGACCTGATTTCCATATTATTAGATTGATGGGGCAGCATAATAATGGAACCATACAACCACCAATTATATGTTTCAATATAAGCTACATATTCATTTTGTAAAAATTCAATGTATAAAAAAAGAAATAGAGAATTGTATTATTGATTGATATATGTTGTATAGATATTTATTACAATGATTCATGATTCCTATATATAGAAGAGGGTGAGTGTGTAGTAGGTAAGGAGTAGGTGAAGTGGAGGTGGTAGTGGTGTAGTGGGTTAGGTTTAGTGGAGTAGGTGAGGTGGTAGTGGTGTAGTGGGTTAGGTTTAGTGGAGTAGGTTTAAGTGGGTGAAGTAGGTGGAGAGTAGGTGGATTTTAACAGCCCCCCGCAAACTCAAGGGGGATAGGAACTAACCAACTTGAGTTTGGAGAGAGTAACAAAACAAGAAAATACATAAAAATAAAAGAGAATAAGAGACACTGTATGGTCGTGTCAGACCATTGGTGAAGACACTGGATGATGGTGTCATAACGTTGTAGAGGACACTGTATGGGGGTGTCATAACCATGTAGAGGACACTGTATGGTGGTGTCATAACGGTGTAGAGGACACTGGATGGCGGTGTCAGACCGATGTAGAAGACAGTTTATGGGGTCATGTCGGACCGTTGTAGCAGACAATGTTGTGACAGTCGTAGTGACAGTTTACGGAGTTTTGCTGGACTCTTGTAGAAACTAACCGGAATCAATGTCGGGACAGTTTACAGAGTCTTGTCGGACCCATAAAGGAGCTAACCGGAATCAATGTCGGGACAGTTTACAGAGTCTTGTCGGACCCTTAAAAAATACACTGTATGATGGTGTATATAGGCTGCCCAAATATATATATATATGGATATATATAGTGAGCCCTCAAAAGTCGCGCCCTCAAAAGGCGCGCCCACTTCATCAAAAGGCGTGCCTGACAGAAAGCGTCGAGCCATCAAAAGGTGAGCCGGAGACGCGGCGAGGCACGTGAGCGACAGAGTGGCGTGTCGGCTAGCGTCAAGTGGCGCGCGATACGCGTTGCTGCCTCGGCTATTTAACCAAGACGGAGGCTGAGGCATGGAAGCAGAGACAAAAACCTGCTAGAAAAACTCTGAAAAAACTCTTCGTTTTCTGAGAGAGATTTCTGAGAGAGATACTCGGTAACACTCTGTTTTCTGAGAGAGATTTCTGAGAGACAGACTCTGTAACACTCTGTTGTCCAGAAAATGGCTTCGTCTTCCCGTAGTCTGCTCACTCTCTTTCCAGACCTTAACGAGTCAACAAGAGAGATAACTGGTGCGGTGGCCTGTGAACCTCAACCAAACACCTCTGGTTTTGCTCCATTGAACTTTCCGATGCGGTCGGTGGAGCAAAAAACCTTGAGTGCAGTTGGGTCATCCTCGAACTCGAACGAAGCCTCGGTCTGATAAACTGGGGCTTTGGAAGCTTGTGTTGGGATTGGCTTTGTTTGGACTAGAAAAATCGGGTTACCCTGGTTTTATGGATCTTGAGTATTAGCAATATTAGTAGTGACACTGGGCACAGGAATAGCTATGGTGGGTGCATGGGATGCAGAGGCCGCAACCGGCTGTGGTTATTGTTGTTGTAGCCTAGTTATGACCTCGGCCTAATGAGCTGTAACCTCGGCCTGATGGGCCACATCATGCTATAGGGTCTTAACTATTTGTTGCAGATGGAGTAGTAGTTCCTCCATATTGGCTGGGGGGTACTGTGCCATTGGAATATGTGATTATCTTTGAGCTGAACTGGAAGTAGCTGACTGTTCTTGGATCGAACTGGACACATGCGAGCTAAGAGGTGATTGCTCTAAGAATTAGGCCGGCGAACTTTGCCTGATTCTTCTCCGTTTTGCAACCGGCGAAAGTGAGGTAAACACGGGTTATGCCCGAACAAGATCCCCGGCTTTGTAAAGTCTTCCGACTCGGGTCCAGAGTATTTGGGGATATCCGAACTTTCTGAAGCTATGTTTTTAAACTACCTAGCAAAAGAAATAAAGCAAAAGAGCAGTAATCAGAAACCACACAGAACCTCAGCTAAGAGGTTATCAACACAGACTTAATCGATTTGTTCAAGTCGAATAATTCTTGTGACTCAAAATGCCACAATGTTGTAAGCAAATAGCACTTAACACATTAAGAAGTTGTCCCTGTAAACAAGAAGATGTCGAACTTGGTTAGTCAAAAGAAGGCAGTCTTGGAATCTCATGTTGTGTGGTGCACCCCCCTGCATGAATGTTGTCGAGTAACCTTGAAAGTAAAGGACACAAAAAATACTTGGATGTACTATCACACCCCATTCCTTCTCACAAATAAGTACTTTAATTTCGTTCTAAAGGCCAACAAAACAATATTTACAATTGTAAAATTATCATCTTAAGAACTCTTGGTAAGCAGAATTACATAGTAGAAAGGACCCAAAAAAATTGTCAATCTAGTGAAGGCACCAAGCCTGAACATATCAAAGAAAAAGCAATCAACAAAAGCTAGTCAGGAGGACACAACAAAAATGTTCAAATACCAAATTTAGAAGCATTCGTGTTCATTCTTGTTACAGCATCCAACCTTCATTACAATCAGAAAAAGAATAATGAAAAAGAAACATACACTATCTGAGCAGCAGTAAGAGCCCTCACAGCATCAGAAGTGCCCATTTGAAATACTACCCGATTGCTTTCTTCATGGCAGGTCCTGAAAACAATATTCTCAGTTCCCTTCTCCACAATATCAGTAGTCCCAATCACCTCTGATAAGTAACAAATGAGATGAGTTTCAAAAATTTAAGCAGAAGAGCAGTACCATATTCTTCTATTCCCCCAAATAATATAAACTACTACACAAATGCGGACATTCAGATAAATAACATTAAGAACAAAATTACTCAAAATTAAAGAAAAGTTTTAACCTGATTTCCATATTATTAGATTGATGGGGCAGCATAATAATGGAACCATACAACCACCAATTATATGTTTCAATATAAGCTACATATTCATTTGCATAACAAAATTCTTGATCCAGATAATGGTCTCTTGCATTAATATGTCTCCGGAAATTTAACATGCCTTATCAACCTCCCAACCCAGCCCAATTCTTGACAAGAATATCTCAACCCACTTTCAGAATTGGTAGATTTTATGTTGGTCGTTTGTAGTCATGACTCATGATTCTGGGTTTTTAATCATCATTCAGCTATTATTTAATTAATTTCTTTGTGTTTCAATGAATTCAATGGGTTTTTTATTCATGTGGATGCCTCTGTATCATTGAAGAATAAGTTCATGTAATTATACATGTTAATGTCAAGGAATGTAAATTATTCTCTTGATAGATTTATGAAATTTGTAGATAATATGGTGGAGCAACTCATATAGGGCTAGGGCCATAGTCTACCTTCGTATACATGCTCTGTACAGGGGCTTCACCAGCACCTCTGACATTTACTCAATAAATATATCTACCTCTACTTGTAGACACACATTAAAATATTTGGCAGTCCATTAAATAAATCTTCAAAAAGATCTATAAAGTCATTGTGTACCAGTATGGATACAATATATGACTATATGGCCTTGCAAATTCCTGTGTGAAATTAATCCTAGATTACTGAACATATTCTACATTTGCTTAACTGGTCATAGATTTGTTGAAAGCTATGAAACACGAATACTTCAAATAGGGAGACGTATCTGTATCATATCTGTATCAGATACTGATACTCCTTGGATACTTACGGATACGTGTCAGATACTTATTAAAAGTATCGAATACTTCTTAATTAATTTTTCATTAATTTTGAAGTATCGGATACTTAGTTTTGAAGTATTGGATGCTCCAAGTCATATATTATCGGATACTTCTTAGTTAATTTTGAAGTGTCAAATGCTCCGAGTCACGTATTACTCCTTTTACGAAATTAGAATTGTATCATTTCTTGCATAACATCATAATATAATATAATTATAAGGATAAATAGAATATTTTTACAGCACTTTGCTTAGTTTTTTATAAAAATAACATAGTAAGCTATAATAATAGAATTCATCAAATTGACATATCTTCATTGTATCATGCATGTCCCTTATAACTACAAAGAAATAAGGATTAATAAGATAATATAACAATAGTAAAATTAAATATCAATAAATAAATAAGCAAATAAACTTGCATAGAATATTTTTGATGCATAGAATATTTTTGATTAGTGCAAAAGGAAAAACCATAGGGTCAAGTTGTGGATTGTTTTGATATTATAATATCAACAGATTAGACTTGATATTAAAATGAAATATTTGCAAGACCTATTGAAAATTTAAAAACTAAACTAGCTACTGGCTTAAATTAATATCTAATTCTTAAATATTAGTATTTTATATTATAAAATTACTGTGATTTCTCAACATTCTTGAACTTATGTGTAACTCACTATTAATAATTTTTTTATTTTTTATTTTTTACAAACGCATCCTAGCCGTACCCGTATCCTACTTTTTTCGGTTTTGTCGTATCGTCGTATCGTCATGTCCGTACCCCGTATCTGTATCCGTGCTTTCTAGGTTGAAAGACATTATAAATACCAAATTTAGCTCGGTTACTAACTTGTTGTCATCCAAATTATAACACAGCGCATAGATACATTGGCAACCTGTTTACCCTATCAGCATCCCACATAGCACTGAATTTCAATGATTCCCTAAAATGCCACAAATAATTAAATAGCCTAAAATGTTAGAAGCAAAGCTACCAATCAATTTTAGGATATATATATATATTTAAAATCATTTTAACTATCCAACAGTACATTGTGTATAATCAAATCCCTTGAATTTATTGTTTGAAACAAAAGGTATAACAAGCATACCCACAATATATATATATATATATGCTGGACCAAAAAACAAAAAAATTACCATTAATTCGACGGTCACATTTGATAAGTTTATGATCAATTATCTCTTCTCCGTATGTTATATCTGCACCATATTCAGCAGCGAGTAGCCTAAGCGGCAGTGTGCCCTATAAAATAAACCAAAAAAGTAAAATTCAAACAAGTATTACAAAAAAAATAAAAAAAATTTTAAGCTTCAGGAATGCTGAATCATAAATTACATCTAATCAATCGTGTTGCTAATCTCAATATTTGGAAATACTTTTGCATCGGTTAAAAACCCTAAAATGGTACAAAAAAAAATTCATAAATGATATGATTGAAGTGCAAAATTGTGAGAGAGGGAACGAGAGTTGAAACTCACAACTCGAACCATAGGAGCCAGAACAAGCTTGTTCTTGTAGTTTATATCCATCTTCTCTGCCGCAATCACACGGCTGGGATCGAATATGGTGTCCTTCAACCCTAGAAGGTAGGTCTTCCCAGTTGAAGATACACAACCACACACACACACACACACACACACACACAACAGTCGTATATCAAAACTAAAACGGTCACGGGTCAAGATATCCAAGGGCGGTGGCGCAAACCCGGCGGGGTTGGGTCGGGTTGAGGCCTGTCCAGGCTTAGTTCAAGCCCGTACCCAATTTCTACCCGAACTTTTTTACCGGGGTTTAATTCAAAGAATTCGGGTGAGGTTAGGGTGCTCCAAATGCAAACACAAAAATAACATATACACTGTATTTCACTTTTTGAAAAAATATACACACCAATCATAATAAACTAATGAATTTCAATTTTTGAAAATAAAAAAAGAAAAAAATATTTCAAATATATAAAATTTTATAAATATTAATAAAGAATTCAATTTATTCGGTATATGGAAACCTTATCCAAGTTCTCTTAAAATTTAATTCGAGTTGATAGATTTTAATCTAAACATTGATCTAATTTAAAATTGTACTGTTAAAATTCTAAAATTTTTCAAAAAAAAAATGTTTGAGAGCCACAAAATCAGTGGCTCAAATGGCTTGAAACTGTCAAAACGACGTCGTTATGGCTTGTTTTGCCTCCAAAAGTCGTTATGGCTTATTTTGCCTCCAAAACGACGTCGTTTTGACAGTTTCAAACCATTCGAACCACTAAATTTTGGACCACCAACCATTGCTGTTTTCAAAAAGAATATAAGTCGCTCATATTAAAAGCACCCATCACCCCTAGTATATCGAATTCTTGGTTAAAGGCTGTGTGTGGCAAGTGGGCTTCATATGCAGCAGCAGCACTTTACATTGTGAACAATCAATTTGAGCTTTAGGTGAAATCAAGTGAGCCCACAGTTTGGTAGAATAGGCTTGCATCTAAATCCTTATAGAAGATTTTAAAAATAAAAATTAAAAAAATCAATGATTTGAGAAGAATTTTTTTTTAAAAAAAAAGAGGGTAAAATGTGTATAAAATTATGTAAACTGTAAGTTTATTTACATTTTACTTATATTTTTCTTTTCTTATTTCAAATCTCTCAACCAAATACAACGTTAATTTATTTTCCTTTGTGAATTTGTTCATAATTCAAAATATAATCTATTACATAAGTTATGAAGCAAAAACACGGTCTATCAGTTTAGTATCAATTCCAATTGAGGCTTTTTAAGGTTTTTTATTTTCTTTTTTTAAGAAAGATGTTGTAAAATTATACTTGACTAGTTCTATATTTTTTTTTAAATAAAACAAAATAAAAAGAACCAATGCAGGCCTTAATTAAATAAGGAAAGTATTCGGGAGCCAATAAGGTGGAGTTCACTTTTGTAAATTAAGCACTTCCCAGCACCTTACCGTATTGATATTTTATGAGTAATCTTATCTTGAAGGGCTTTTTTTTTTTGTTGACAACGTACTCTTTTGACAACTTAGGCCCCGCTTGTAAATAAGTTATTTTAATAATTTTTTAATTAAAATATGAGGTAAAAAAATTAGTATGTTTAAAATGATTTTTTAATTTTTTACAAAAAGACGTGCAAAAAGTGAAGAAAAAAAATAAAATATTTGACTTTTTACTATAGATTATAGACTTTTTATTTTTTTTATAACTTTTTGATTTTTAGGCTAAAACAGACAATTTCCAAACGAGACCTTAATAAAAAAGTTACGTTTGTAGCTTGTTGGCTAAAAAAGTTAGGTTGATTTTTTAAGCAATGAGTCATTTGGCAAGTCTAAAAAAGCCACATATAAAATTACAATTATATCCTCTATGTTTTTTTGTATATTTACATATGTAAAAATATATATTTTCTACATTGAGTGGGGATAGTTTAATCTTTTTATTGTAATGTGACATCATAAACAAATATTAATCAAAAAAGTCAAAAATAATTTTTTACCAACTTCTCAAGTTACTTTTTAAAAAACTAAAAACTTAATTAAAAATTAAAAATTAAAAATTAATTTTTAACCGTCTTTCCAAAACAATTCTAATTCTATGAGTTGGTAGTGTGATGATGTCAATTGCGTGTCTATTTTTTTTATTTTTTATTTTTTGGAAGAACAATTGCGTGTCTATTTTTATTTTGAAACTATGACAGCCCAAGTAGAAAAATGGCTCAAAATGGTGTCACCTTTGACCATTGTGTCACCTTTTGGTAGATGAGGGGTTTTCTCACTAAAAAAATGAGAGACTACGTACAATCTGAAAGGTTAACCTGACTTTCACGTTGTGTTTAATTGAAAATTTTGTGAAGAGATTGTGAAAAGAGAAAAAAAAAATATGTGTATAAAATTAGATATAATATAAGTATATTTTATTAATATTTTATCTATTTTTTCTTCTTTTTTTTTAAAAAAAAATTTAATCTTTGAACCAAACACAACGTAAGAAGAGACGACCAATGCAAAGATCTACCTCCCATCCTTTTCTTGTAGTTTTTTTTTTATAATTAAGGATTCAGGTTTGTTTAAAAGCCATTTATTAGTTTTTAATCTATTTTTGATCATATTTTCTCATTACGTTTTTACATTTTTAAATAAAAAAAATTAAAAACTTTCAACCAACTTTCAAAAATAACCCTAACTTTAAGATCTTGAAATTAAGGATATACCTCCGCTAACCCTTTGAAGCGATTCAAATAAATATATTTTCCAGTCAAATATAATATAATTTTTCCATTCACGTGAGTCATGAAATTTTAGACGCCAATAATTTATAAACTAACCTTATAATTTGTTTCAGTTACAAAAATTTCCTTTCCTCACTATCGTGTCCATCACTGTCCGTCACCATTAAAACACCTTCTCTCTAGATACATTTGGCTAATTACGGGGATTCTTAGGCTTCGTTTGAGGAGGGAGTTAGCTTTTTAACTTTTTGAATTTTTTAATTATTTTAATTTAGGATTAAAAAGTTTGATTTGGGAAGAATTTTTAATTTTTTTAAATTTTTTATGAGAGAAAAAATATAATAATTATGAATTGAATGTAATGTTTTATTTTATTGAACTAAAAAATATATTTTGTTCTTTTGTGACTATTTTAACTAAAAAATCCTTAAACCGAACTTCCCAAACATTGGCTTGGTCCCATCAATGACACAATATTATTAAAATAATTATATTTGTTTATTTAATAATTTTATTATTCATATCTATTATTGATACAATGATAATACATAAAATAATAAACAAAGCTTGATAAATAGTATAATTATCATATCATAACATTATTAAAAATAAATAATACAAGTATAAAGCTGTAATTTTCTAAATCAATGCAAACAATAGGAGTACCAAACTTTGTTTTCACAAATAGTAGTATCCGAAGGCTTCCACTTTAATCATAATTCAGGTAGCTTGGTGTTTTTGTATGGTATTAAAGTTGGGACATGAAATTCGCAATTGGAAATATATAACCCAATTACCACTTGTGGGGATGTATTTTCTTAATACCAACACGTGACAAGGTGACGCCGACGTGTCAACCGAGGTGCCACGTGTTCTGGTCGTAACGACGAGGTTATCTCGGCTAGGCCGAGGTTTTCTCCGAAGATATCGAAATCCGAGATAAACGGATAATGGATAAGGGGCAAGAGTTTTAGAGTAAAGAGAAGATTTTGCTAAGATAAGGATAAAACTCTTAGGGAGTTTATCTTTATCTTTTGAGGAATCCAAAGTAAGCACTGAATTGGAGTCCATAGAAGTCAGGCTTTTAGTAGGACTTGGATTGAGTTAACTATAAAAGAAAAGCACCCTCATGGGTCTAAGATATGCAGTTTTATGCTTAAGCTAGCGAGTTTAGTACTTGATTTATCTTTGAGATATATACTGACTTGATCGTCGGAGTGCCCCCGGGTGGAAGAGCCACCGCCGAAGCCTTTTCTTTCTGTTACAGGTTTGCTGAAGCCATCTATTCTACCGGTGCTCTCCAGCTGATTACTAGGCGGGCAATGTGGTCATAAAATTACCCACACAATTTGGCGCCGTCTGTGGGAAGCTTAGAAGAATAGATGGCCAGTAACGGACAGAGGGAAAACATTGGGGGCGACACTCCTACTGGGAGTGGCAGACCAATTGATCTTGACGTTGAAGGAGACAACCACAATACAGGAACTCATGGCCAGGGCCACGGAGAGAAAGACGTCAGCCAGGAGAACGACACTTCGAAAAGGACAGACCAAAGCAAGTATTATAACGAAGATAACCTTCAGGTATGGAGGGATAGGTGCCTACGAAGGGATGAGGAAGTAAAAGGCTTGGCAAACAAGTTGGCAGACCTTCAGTCGGTTGTCAACTTCATGATGCAAAATAATGTTATGCAGCCACCATACCCACTGCAAAATACACCGATACCAGCAATTAATACCCAGAAGGGAGGAAGGAAAGCAATCCCCGAAGCCCCTCAGCACACCAGGAGTGGAAGGCACTCTCACCGACCTTCCAGGGAAGTCGGACGAGAGGAGCCGAGGCAAGAAGAGTCCCGAAGGACACATCACATGAAGAATCCAGGGCCCAAAGAACATTGGCATGTTCAAGGGCAAGCACTCTGCTTTGACACAACCCATGGAGAAAGATCGAAACGGACCCACCACGAGGCTGAAAGTAGTGTGCCAAAAAGATTGAAGTCCAAAGATAGCCGAGCTCCAGGTAGGAGTAAAGAAGACTTGAGGGATTACCTCAAAAGGAGGCAGCAGAATGTTGAAACCGAGGTGACTTCCCCAATTAAGCCGAGAACACCATTCTCGGTGGAACTGGACAAATTTGAAGCACCAAAGAGATTCAGTATGCCGAGGTTCCAAATTTATGATGGTAAGTCAGATCCCAACTTTCATGTCGGACTATACCTGAATTCAATGGTATTTTATAGTGGGAATGAGCCGTTGCTCTGCAAAGTATTCCCCTCATCCTTCGGGGAGATCGCATCCGATTGGTTCCATAAACTATCGAAGGGAAGCGTAAAGACGTGGGAAGGCCTGGCCGAGATGTTTGTGGCCAGGTTTGTGACGAACAAACTACAGCCCTTGAGGGTCGACGCTCTGA